CTTGGAGGTCATCTAGTCCAACCCCCTGCTCAGGCAGGAAACCCTATACCATTTTGGACAAATGGCTGTCCAGTTTCTTCTTAAAAACTTCCAGTGTTGGTGCATTCACCGCTTCTGGAGGCAGGTTGTTCCACTGGTTAATTGTTCTAACTGTCAGGAAGTTTCTCCTTAGTTCTAGGTTGCTTCTCTCTTTGGTTAGGTCCACCCGTTGCTCCTTGTCCTGCCTTCAGGCGCTTTGGAAAATAGCTTGACTCCCTCTTCTTTGTGGCAGCCCCTGAGATATCGGAACACTGCTATCATGTCCCCCCTCGTCCTTCTCTTTGTTACATACACAGTAACAAAGCAGCCCAACAGCAAGCACAAATGAGCTGCCCTCCAGAAATCCAATGTCCACAATCCTATTATTAAGATGGAGAACATAATACTCAATTAATTTTATCTACATTTACGCTGAATGGTCATGTGCTAAGACTCACAACCTCTTTTATTTTTACAGATAAGAAACATCGTCTTTGGCTGCTCATTTGTATTCACATTTTTTTCTTTTTCTTTTTTTATAAGCATATTATAAGCATTTGCTCTTTTCCACACCTAAAACAGTTGCAGTGATTAACCAGTAACAAGCTGAGCAAGTGTTTTGATGCAGGAACAATTGCAGCAGATTGACAAAAGGCAGCATGGATCCCACTATTACATATAAACAAGCAAGTAAAAATACCTTACCTCACTAAAGAAGCTTTTCGACAAAGTTTATCAGCCCCTCTGTAGTAGTTCACCAACTGTGTAAGTCCAGGTTCATGACCTATGAAAAGGGAATATTAATATCCATGTTGTTTGCATTCTGGAAATGTTTTTTAAACAAATAAAGAAGTATTTATATAGATAACACCATTATTAATCTCCACTTTCTTAAAAACAAAAAAGTTGTTTACCGCAGAATTTTTAACATCAGCAACTTGTATATCTTGCATATATTTGATTTACATACATATTTTTGGAAGATGATTAAGAACTCTCCCCATAATTATGCATGGGCTAATAAATAACCCTATCTAAATAGTGAAAGAATATTGCTAACTATCTCCATCTAGTTCCAGATCAACAAAAAGAATGTGAAGACTTCCTAGAAGAAATTAGATATCTTATATTTTTCTACACTTCACTAGAACAGGGCTTTTCATCCTTTTCACCCACTGTACCACTTTTAGGAGATGGCAACACCCGAGTACCACCAGTCGCCTAGCAAGGTGTCAAAAACTTGATGACCCAAAAAAAAAAAAAAGGAAAACAGTGATAAAGTACAGGTAGTCCTCGACTTACACCAGTTCGCTTAGTGACTGTTCGAAGTTACGATGGCACTGAAAAAAGCGCCCCCCAAGCCACAGCCGAGCAAGACACCTGCCTGCCCGCCCGGCCGCGCTCTTCCTCCTGTCCGAGGTTTTCATTGTTGTGAGCATTTCTGTTGAGGATTGGCAGTGGGGGTGGGGTGGGGGGTGTTTGGTTTTTATTCCCCCCCGTCTGCTGGGTGGTTGCAGCAAGTTTTAGTCACTTCACATGACCCTGGAGATGCTGCCGTCATAAATATGAATCAGTTGCCAAGCATCTGAATGCAAATCACAAGACCCTGGAGATGCTGTAACATTCCAGCTGATTGGTGCTTCTTCAGGGCTCAGCAGAAGCACCAGGATCAGCGCCGAGCTCCAGCTGGAGCCTGGCGCTGATCCTGGCGCTTCCGCTGAGCCCTGACAGCCCTGCAGCTCCAGCCGTCTCTCGCTCAGGCTTGTGCNGTGCTGCCACCGGTTCAGCTCATTCCCCTCCCCCGCTACCACTTTTCTAGGATGGTCGCGTACCACCTGCCAGGTGCCAATGTACCACAGGTGGTACCCGTACCACTGGTTGAAAAGCCCTGCACTAGAAGACAAACTGCTTTGCATGCAGCAACATCACAGATTCAGTTCCTAGCACCTTGAAATGTGGGGGGATCTGTCAGCAGATACTGAGAAGATCAGCAGGACAAAGGATGAAGAGGACAAACAGAATGACTTTTTTATAAGGCAGATTCCAGGATTGCACTAATTGATGCTGGAAATCATTGGCAAACAACACAATCACACTGAACTTAGGCAGCTTACTATCTTTACTTTAAAATGAAGGGAGTTCTTTTATGGAAAAGTCTGAATTGCCTCATTCATCAGCAAATCTTTCGGGGGGGGGAAGCTTTTGACCAACTTTGGATGAATTTTTGATCAGCAATTCTTGCAAAGCACTCACAATACCTAACCAGGAACTAGATGAGCTCTTGAAAAGAAGTTGCTCTGAGCATGTTACATCAGAGGTCCTCAACCCATGATCCGCGGACCAGCACTAGGTCGTGGCATGCCAGAAACCAATCCACGCAAACAAGGAAAGCCCCATCCGCGGGATGCAGGCAGTACATGAAACCACGTCCCCTCCGGTCCACGGAAAAATCTCTCTCCACAGAACCGGTCCCTGATGCTCAAAAGGTCGGGGACTTCTGTGTTACATGACGTGTTTGGAATTAGATCTAGGTTTAACTGGATTCAGGCTTGCTCGCCTTTGTTTTGGTGGGGCTGCTTGAAGAATTTGACAAAATTAGGGAAATATTCTAATGTTTAGACGCTTTTGTCAAATGTACTTAACAAGTATTGCCACAGTTAATAAAGATAAGCGAAGACGGATTCCATTCCCCCTACCCCAAAAATACTACAGCAGAGGTCCCCAACCTTTTGGGCACCAGGGACCGGTTACATGGAGGGGGGCATGGTTTTGTGTGCTGCCTGCATCCTGTGGATGGGGCTTTCCTGGCATGCCGCGGCCCGGTACTGGTCCATGGACTGGGGGTTGGGGACCCCTGTACTAGAGGACCAGTAAGCAAAAAACTTTTTCTGGAATGGAAACAATGGCTATTGAGAGAATAAAAGAGTTGGTGCTTAAACAAAATGGAAAAATATAATCCAGTAAGCCCAGTAGTTATCCTAACATTTCTGATTAGTGAAAGGATTTTGCTGCACTAGATATAATAGAGGCATTAGACTAGTAACCCAGCATAAACAAAAAAATGGTTAATGAACAAATAAAATTTGAGGGCTACAGATTTTCAGAGGAACCTGCCCGGCTACTGTATATATAGATGGTATAATCTTGCTAAAAAGTTAAAATTGAGAGTAAAAAGAAAATGTAATTAGAGAGAGGGGGAGAGAAACTTGTGTATTCCTACCTCAATATCTTTTGGGGGGGTTCCAGAAAAATTGGAAACATTAAAAATTTTGAACAGATATTTTCTTTTAGAAAAATGAATGCAGTAGGACAAGATTTCTGTACATTGCTCCCCTTTATTCCCTCCTCCATATTGTTTATTACTTTGTAGTAACTTTAACTACTGAATCAGAACATTACGGTTCCCAGATAATATGTAAAAGAATCTAAGCAACCTACAGTTTTCAGAATCAGAAGTGTATTGAGGGGGTAAATTTAAAGCCTCAAAACCCCCAAAATTGACAACAGTAATAAATAAAAAAATAAGATTCAATATAATATGTAAAAACTATATATACAGAATGTTTTCTATTTTTTCTTGTTTTTGTTCTTTTTCTAAAAAATGTGAATATGCAGAAAGTCTAAGACCACAATACATAATTGACACTGACTAGAGGTTCAAAAGAATACATCATATTCTTGCCAAAAAGCTTTTATTCTATTTTTTTCAGCTCCGATGCACTGAAACTTTAGATGCAGAGACTTTGATTTGTCAATTAAGGCAGGAAAAACTACCATCTATTGATCTTTTTTTTAAATTAAAGGAAATAAATCACTGCAGTCTATTTTGCTTGTCATTCCAAAAATCCCTAAAGATTGTTATTTTTCTTCAGGGTTATTGTCTTTCAAGTTCTCACTTTCTAGAGCAGGGGCTCCCAACCTTTTCTATACCTCGCATCCCTAGGACACTTCTGATATAGTCTCGCACCCCTTACAAAAGTTCAAAATTTTTGTATTTTGTAACGAATTATGCATATACACTATAATTTTGAAAACCCAAGTTTTCGCATCCCCTGGAATATCGTCTCGCACCCCTGGTTGGGAACCCCTGTTCTACAGGCTGTAATTCCATTTTTGCAATGCTATAGACCCTGCTTTCTTTTTAAAAGACCAGTCTTACCTATTCTGCAACCCAATCTTCCCTTCCCTCCTATAAATGTCTCTCATCTCCATTACATAAAGATACCATGCAGCACTAATACTCTTTGTGTGAAACTGGGCATGAATGAATAATGTGTGGAAAGCCCCAAAGTATCCAAATGTGGACAAATTGCATCACCAACTGAGCCCTTATTCAAACACTACTAAATCCAGTACCATTCTTGAAAGCTGGACATGAACAGAGACATCCGCAGATAATCACAATTACAGTATATAAAAAAAGATGACATCCACGCAGTGATGTCAGGACACAATCTCCATCCTTTCATACTTGTGTCTTAACACTGGAGACAAGTATATAAGTCACAAGGTTTGTATCATGACCTCATAATACAATTTTGTCACTTTCTCCCTGTTTACGATGCTGATGAACCAAAAGCTTCTGCTAATGCAAACCATTCGTTTTTTAAAAAGACCTTTCTCACTGCTGACTCACGTTATTCAATCCTCAGTTCTAATTGTTTTAGTTTCAGTTCTTCTGGCAAGGTTTGCTTTTAATAATTTCATTACTTTTCCACGCCTTCTTCAGTTTATTAAGATTTCTCTTCAAGTTTCATAAGGGATAGAAAAAACACAGTATCTTTTCCTGATCTGTCAAAACCAACATGGGCAGCTTTTCCAACTGGCAATCTCCAGATATGTTGGAACATTTGCAGCCAGCTTGGCCTCACAAAAGCTTGTGGCCTAACCACTTGTTAGACTTAGCTATGCTGGCTAGGAATTTAGGGAACTGTAATTCTAAAACACGTGGAGCAGCATATTGGTTTAGGACGGTGATTGTAAAGTATCAATTTTATGGCTGGGTAATGCACAAAGCTGCTTTCACAGGAGTTGGTAACTTCTCAAAGCATCCATTTGTCAGGATGACGAGCTATCCTCAGCCCTCCAGAGCTGTGATGTCATCCCAGAAAAAGGCATGAATGGTGCCATATTCATATATTTCTGCTTCAAACCCAGAACATTACACATATTATGTAAAAGTCTTAATAATGAAAATATTATGCCTATGCCATTCTCTTGTTACCCCTTAAGCAAGAGTAATCAAATCATTTTCCTCTCAAATCAAGAGAAACCTAGGTCAAAAGTAGCAAATACAACCTGAAGTAGAAGTCACTGCCTATAATAGTTTCTTTAGTATCAGTATTCCTCCGCTAGTGAGGGATTCTGAGCCCTTTATCCTCAAGTTTTGTTGAGGCAGAATTTGAGGAAGAAACAGATACAGGATAGCTCAGCCTAACTAATTCTTTGCTAACAGGACTGTTGCATTTAAAAGAGCAATCAAACAATTTCCTAAAATCCATCCATCCCCAGCCTTGGTATCATTAACAGTGTATAAATACCTATCGGGGGGGAAAATATTGCCAGAATAACGAATAATTTCTTGGCCCAGAAATTATAGTAGTTCCAGTTTCAGCCATAGGAAACTGAAAGACATCAGATGTCTGACAAAGGAACCATGCCAACATTTACACTATCACGAATGATTTGTAGCATAAGATGTTCCACAGGATTTTACCTTCTGCTGAAAGGTGGCTTACTACTTGGTAACTGCAGCTAAATTTACTCATGCGTAGTGAATACTTCTTAAATATGCATATTTTTCTTTAAACTTTTTGCTGTAGCATGTTACTTTGCTTCCAACACTGAATAATGGCCTTCAGCACAAACAAACACATAACCTGTTATACAGTCAGAATGTTTATGACATTATATAGCCTGGCATTTGCTGGAGCATTCATCCTATTTTAAATTAAGCAACTGCCATTATCACTTAGCAGCTGATTCCAAACTGATGTCCTCCAGATGTATTGGACTATAATTTCACTTACTTCCAGGCAATATACTGGCCAGGGGAGACAGTGGGGCTGACTTTTAGGGTGGCAAGAGTCCAATTACAAGTTTATTTCATTTCAACTTCAAAATTAGAAGCAAAAGTAATGTCTATTCTTTTTGAAATCATGGCAAAGATTTGTAGGAGGTGTAAATCAGAGAGTAGATGCTTCTGTGGAAGGAGGCGCAATGAAGGGAACAGAGCAATGCAGAAATCTCATATGAGCACAATACCCCAAGGCAGTTTCAATGATTCTGCCTCTTCTTTTAATAAATGGATCATAGGGTCTTGTTTGGTTTGCTTAAGCAGGACACGGTTCAGTATAAAAATCATGGCTGCAATGTTATGGCCACACATCTATTCTAAATACACATTTTCTATTTTACTAGAAAACTCAAAGGAGAGCTATTTTTTGTCAAGAATCCAAGGATGCCAGAGAATTATTAGTGTTAAACCACTCTAAACACCCAAAAGAATAGTATTTGGAAAGCAAGAGGTATAGTCTATATCACGGGTGTCAAACTTGCCACCTCACGTGATGTATCGTGATGTATCACGACTCTTTTTGCATTGCCGGCAATGGGGTGGGTGCGGCTTCGGTATGATGAAACTGGCCCGCGGGCTGGCAGTTTGATACCTCTGGTTTGTATTGAATAGAAATCTGTAAGTTGCATGTAAATCAGTTACATCTTTCTAACCTAAATGTAATGAGTCGTTTTTCAGGAACTAAGAGTGAAAAGCCGTTCTAGAGATCTATTAGTCCTTGAGGTACCACAATAGTCTCTGTTGCTTTAAAGCAGGACTTTGGGTGTGATTCATTACTTTTATACTGGTTCTTGCAGTATTTTGCATTTTCTAGGATGGCTTGCTTTCTCCTCTGTTTTTTTCCCTGCAGCTTCAAAAACATGAGCTCCCCACCTCTTATTATTATAGGCTAAAATAGATTAGTGTTAAGATATGGTTTAAGTGTACAAAGCACTTTTACACTTTTTTACTTTTCGTTAAATATTTTCTAAAAAATCCTTTTTAAAATATTAGTCTATTGGTTCAGAGCTTACCCTCTGGAGCATGCTTTCTCAAACTTGTGTTCCTGAAATGTTTTGAGGCTACATAATTATCAGTGAGCAAGAATGGAGTTGTAGACAATTCACACACAAATTTGTGGAAGTTTCGAGAATCAAAAAGGACAGATTTGTTTTAGTGTTTAATTGAAGATGGCTATGCTATTACCTTCAGTGGTAATATCCTTAGCTAAACATACTCATAGGACTTGGTCCTCCTGTTCCAGACATTCCAGGTCATTTTCCACATTCAGCAAGTCACACCATTGTAGAATTAAAAGAAGCCAGTTAGGCCCTCAGGTCTAATCTGCTACTCCATGCAAGAATCTAAATTAAAGCATCTCTTAACAGAGAACTGTCCAACTTTAAAAAAAAAAAATCAGTGGAGAGCCCAGCCCTCTTTTAGTAACTGCCCTTATTCTTGGATAATCTATTTTAATTTTTATATAAAATAATCTTATTCTTTATTTACAATGCTTAGAAACTACGTCAATTGACTTATCTTCAATTATGTAAGAAGACTAAATCCAATGGGACCTACAGATTAACTATACATATAAATGTAGAAATAAAGCCTTTCAAGTTGAGCTCAATTCCTTGTGCCTATGTGGAATAACCAAGTCATCTTCTTGGCAGGAGTATAATAGTAGTAGTTTGCCACTGTCTTGGAGGATGGAGGATGGTTTTGGTTACTTCAGTCTACTCCATAGCCCTAGAATTCTCTAGAGCAGGCATGTCAAACTCGCAATGTCACGTGATGTCGCGGGACGTATCGTGACATTGCGCAACGTTTCATGACTTTCCCCCCATTGCTGGCAATGGGGTGGGTGTGGTTTTGGCATGACGCATCCAGCCCGCCGGCTGGCACTTTGACATGCCTGCTCTAGAGGTACCCACCTAAGTTCTAACCAGGCTCAATCCTACTCAACTTGTGAGTCCAACCAAGGCCATCCAGAGGCCTGGACAGCTCTGTCTCCTTCTGATGCTAGTGAAAGCTGCATGGATTTAACAGCAACTGGAATGATTGCTGTGACTATCTAACATCACAATAATATAAGAAGTCACTATATAATAGGAAGCTATTCTTCTTTGCTTTTGAAAGAGTAATGCAGAGTTCATGAACTGAATTTTAAAATACTCCACTTGAAGAAAATAAGCCTCTTTTAAATTATAGTAAGAGAAAATTTGTAGAACCCATTTTCTTCCACTGCAAAGTGGCTCAGTTATTGAACCAATAACTTTGAACAATTCAGTTAAAAGTTTTATGCCATAGTGACTGAGAATTCAGGGAGTTGAAGTGAAGGATGCCAAGTTAAATAAGTCTGCTGCTTATTTATAAATATTGCTTTTTGGATTGAATAATTGTTAGTATTTCTCAAAGATTACCCCAGGGTGGAAAAAACATCCCACAATTCACTTAAATAAAAATCATTGTAAAAAGCCATTATATTCATAATCCTGGCCTCAGTCACAACCCAACAGAGGGTTGCATCTACTCAAAGCTAAATCCCATTTGAGATTCCTGGAGCTTGTTCCCAAGTGCATGGGGACTGCACTCTGAGTAAACATACTGTACTAAAAACACTGGGTCTATGCATACTATAATATTCTCAATGGGTTATGGAAATTAGTAATGCTTAGAGACTTTTCCTTCTACTTTTATTATGAATCATTTCAACAAATATATCCAGTCTTTAAAATTCCCTTTTCATAGAAAACCCAGTCTGTAGGCTATTTAAATATACCCTGCACCCAGTTCAAACCAACTTGAAGAAAAAAGCAGAGAACTTGATGCCTGACATCTGGCACAATCATGTTGAATAGTTTGTTATTTGCTGAGCAACCTAAAATATTATTGCAAAAGCAAAAAAAGGGCTTTTTGTTTTCATTGGCCAAAGGAGTCAGCAAATGTTAAATACACATGAGAATCCCAATCATGGCTAGTGGAGTGCAGAGAAGTTGCATTCAAATTGGGGAAAAAAAATCACTGACATACCAACTTAAATACAACAGCAATTGTTGGAAAGCTGTAAAAATTATATTACTGTAATTTTATTTTGATTTTAGATATCTGTTTTCCAGGAGAGTAAATAAATGGTTGCAAAATAAAGATTTCAATAACAATGCTAACTTATCGGATGATTCTACCCCGGTTTAAACAAGAACATGCAAAACCCCATCTCAGTACCTGTATTTGCTTGCAATATTTTCTAACCCCAACAGATATACGTCCACCCTTTTCACAACCTGGCATCCAGCGAGTCTCATTGGCTTGCTAAGGATAAAATCACTCCCGTGTTGCAGCAGACAACACCCCATTGCTAACATCTGCAGACCCCGGTTTGGCAGGCGTTCCCTACCGCACCCCTCTCTCGCCAGCACTTCCAAACTTCGGCCGCCGCATGCAGATCGGTGGGTCTTGGAGGCCGATCAGGTGCCGGGGCTTCGAAAAAGCCAGGGACCCCCCCTTCTTCCCGACGAGCTCCGCAGAAAGGTCGCCTCATGCTTTGCGTCCCCCCGACCCGGCCGGGTGTGCCCAGGTTCACGCGTGCGGCTTGCTTACCCAGTCTCCCAAAAGGCAGCCTGTTTCTCTCGCCCAACATGAGGTTGAATCTGGGATTATCTCTTTTGAGCCTCTTCCATTGTCCAGTGGAGAGGAGAATTTTAGAGACTTCAGCGTAGATGCTGCTGTTTTCATCTCGCACCACAAACGTGTACATCTTTTAACTGTAGGGCTAGTCTTACATATATATATATGTATATAAAAAAAAGCCGCCGGTCACTTGGAAGATCGAGCTGGAAAACCCTAATTAAAAGGGCATCAATCCCACCCATTCACGCAAGCCGACGTCTCTCGGCTGCCTTCAAGGGAAATGAAAACCGGCATCGCAGGAGGAGGCGCTCCTTTGCAGCTGGGGTTGGCGACGCGCCCCGGGCTGCCGTCTGCTCCGGGTGAGGCGGCAGCTGCGTCCCGGGCTGAAGAAAGGGTCGCTCGGCCCGATTCACACCCTACCCCACCCCCCCACTTGAGCCGCGCCAGAAGGAAAGCCGCTTGAACTCTCCGCCAGCCGCTCCTCGCCTGAACTCTCAAAAGCACTTCCTGCAGCGCTGCCTACATGCTGACGACGCGGCGGCTCAGCATCCCAAAGCGGCGGCTGGCGCGGAGCAGCTCCAGCTTGCCCATCATCCGGCGGACGCTGACAAGCCCAAACCGTCGGCCCCGTTTGCTGCAGGCGGGTAGCCGCCCATCTGTCGGGCTGCCTTGTGCCTTTGGACCCGGAGGCTCGCCCGTGGCCACGAGGACTCCTCCCCAGCGCCGAAAGAGGCGGATCCAGCGAGGGGCCGAGCCTCGGCGGTTGCCTCAGTCACGACGTAAAAAGAGTAATTGAGCCGCGCCGCCCTCTTACTTCCCCACAGGCTTCCCGTGCAGTTAATTCGGAGCCTGTCCAGTTTCAGGGTGGAAGGAACCGCGAAGGCCTGCGTTAGGCTGGTTAAAGTTCGCAGTGTTTCTCAACCTTGACAATTTTAAGGCATGTGGACTTCAACTCCCAGAATTCCACAGCCAATGCTGGCTGTGGAATTCTGGGAGTTGAAGTCCACATGCCTTAAAATTGTCAAGGTTGAGAAACACTGGAAAATACTTGGTCTAGCCTTCATCCAATAAATAGAAAAGGAGGTTCCGTTTTTTGCTGCCCGGCCCCTCACACGCAGCCGGAAGAAATCGTGCCGCAATCTAGCCCAGATTACAGGTTCTTTCGGGTGATCGTAAAAAAGAAGAAAGACCCGTCTGTCACAGCATTGCTGTGTTTCGATCAGAATTGGTAGGGAGCGAAGCGGAGGAGATGTTTGGTACGCGTGGAGTGCAGAGAATAGGCACGGGGAGGCCCCTCCTGCCTCTTTTATCCCGTTAAAGCAATGTTTCTCAACCTCGGTAGCTTTAAGACGTATGGACTTCAACTCCCAGAATTCCCCAGCCAGCAAGGAATTCTGGGAGTTGAAGTCCACTCATATTAAAGTTGCTGTGATTGAGAAACTGCCTTACAGTAATGGGTGTGGCCTGTGGGAACTGGATCCCCGCTCCCCTCCATTCTATGACTGACGTAACTGGAAGCACCCCCCCCCCGTCTTTCCCCAAGGAGGGAAAGGACGTGAGGCCAACCAGTAAAGCTCATCTGCCAAGGTCTTTATGGGCATGTGCCTTCATGCTTGTTTATTGTTAATGTACAGATGAGCATCAGCTGCAAGGACGGTTTTAAAGGGTTTTAGACAAGTAGAAGGCTAGCTTGGCTCCAAAGCATTGCTGGCCATGGGTATTTTAGGGGGAGCCTGTGTCATGTGTGTCTTTTTGTCCCCAGAAAATGTACCATTTTAATTCGTTTCAAGCTGACAAAAATAACCAGGTGATTTTCAACTTTTTTCAGGAACAAAAAATGGATATGTTGAGCCACTGATAACCTTTAATCCAGCTAATTTAATTCTTTAAGAAAAATAGATTAGAAAAGGAATAAGGCCAAATTTTAAAAAATCTATCCCACCTTCTCCATTTATTTTTATTTATTTTATTTTAATTAAATTTATATACCGCCCTATCTCCCTTACAGGACTCAGGGCGGTGAACAGGCGAAAATAAAAATCACAATAAATATCTATTCTAAATTGATTTTGATTGCTTGTATGTCAAGTGGATATTGACTTTGAACAACCTCATAAACACTCTAGGACGGGTAGGCAACCTTGGCTCTTTTATGACTGGTGGACTTCAACTCCCAGAATTCCTGAGCCAGCCACACTGAGGAGAAATTGAGAGGTTTCCAAGCTGAGCTATACTGGCTCAGGAATTCTGGGAGCTGAAGTCCACGAGTCATAAAAGCCAAGGTTACCTACCCCTGCTCTAGGACAAAGAGAGACTGCCCGCTGAAAAAGTTGGTTCTGTGGTGTGCCTCCAGGATCAAAGGCAGTGTATCTGAAAGTAACAATTTCAGGCTAGTAGTGGTGGTGGAGTTATTCTCCTGCCCTGCTTCTGGGCTTTCTTGATGGTTGCTGTAGGAATATATGCCTTAAAAAGTATTTAACCAAAGTATTTGTGTGTTTTTTGTAAATATTTTATTAATTTCAAGTTTTACAATCATAAGTACTCAATAAACAACTCGGTGTCTGGGTTCCTTTATCATTCAGTGGTATATATTAACTTTCACTCAAAATGTCCAATATTACACGATCCAGTATTTCCCTGATGCTCTCTTCTTCCAATAATAATCATTTTTCCACACTATGCAAGTATAATTCTTACTGCTATTAATACCTATACAATTAAATATAAACATCTTCATCACATGTTTCTAATATTATACATAGTATTAATATCAGTTTATAATATCTTCTCTAGCAAAAAAAACATATCTCAAATGTATTTGCAATCAGAGTTCCCTTATTCAATCTGTATCCTGGTTTTTTCTCTATTTTTCAATTTTAATTTCCCATTAATATTCAAAATAACTTTATCAATTATCATTTTTCTCATAATTAATTATGTTTGGGTAACTAAAAGCTTCCCTTATACCGACCCTCTTAGTATTTTCCCATCTTACAGAAAATTATGTTATCCTAGTTACAAATCACATCCTTCTAATTCATAATGGTCCTTTTGTTTCTAACAACTGTCTATTCTTTTAATCATATTCAAACATTAGATGGTATAATACCTCATCTCATTAGTCAGGACCTCTATTTTCTTCAGTCTTACTCTAGCTTTCTTCCTTTGCCAAATAACTTTGCAAATCAGTACATTTAACTCACCAAATATTTCTTCCTCTGCTTCTGTATATATTATTTGGAATAAAAAAGACAATTTAATTAAAGTATTTTTGTAAAAACACTTAATCCATTCATATTTGTTAAACAGCCTCCATTTTCTTCTTCAGTTTCTCTTTTAGTTTCTTGTTCCCCAGTTTTCAGCATTTTTCCTAACAGCTCTGTCATCCATTCTATCAATTATTCTTCCTTGTCCTTAAATATGATCTGTAGTCTTGAAAAGTAAAATGTCTTTCCCATTTCCAGTGCCATATCTGGGCCTTCCAAATTTTTATTTATCTGTGCCTGTCTGTTGGTTTCTTCTTTTGAATCCTCTATCTTTATGTCTGTTTCCACTATTTTTTCTTCTGGTTTCTCAGTTGCTACTTCATTCTTTATGGTCATTTTCTGAACGTTTTTTGCTTGTAAATTTAAGTTGGAGAGTTGCTCATTTATGTTATTTAAATTATTTTTAGTCTTCTCATAATTTAAAACAATTGTCTCTTAAATTGATTTCAACATAGAAAGAATTTGACCAAAGTATTTGATCTGACCTAGGAGCTTTTTTCTCGGTTTTTAAAAATTAAATATGTCTGTTATATGCAAAAAAGGAAGAGGAAGGAAGGAAGGAAGGCCAGACAAAGCATGCATCTCTTCTGCGGTAAGTAAAATTAGTGTTACATATTCATGTTATGTTATACAATTAAATAATTTACTCATTTAATAATGAGTATCAAACATACAAATGAATGTATGGAACTCAAACTCCCTAATAAGGGACTTGTACTCATAAAACAATTCTTCAGACGTAGAAAACGTTGAGCTCTTCAGACCATCGTATACAAAGAACAGATGAGTTTTCCACCCTTATATGATGTCTGCATACATGAAAGTGTGTACTTTTGATTTCTTTTGTCCCCTGTTAGTTCCTAAATTCAAAAGCTTGCCCGTTCAAAAGCTTGCCCGTTGTTCAGGCATGGATGCAGAACTTGTCCTACTGAATTTCAGATATAATATGGAGCAATTTGCACACCAGACCATTTCTGTGTAATTCAAAGCTTATTGCTTTTTTGTATTCCTTTGGGGGAGGTGAGAATGGAGGTGGATTTTAATAGTAAACATAGGATTATTTGTACCATAATTGTGACTGACTGATGATTTGGGCTTTGGAAAGTTACCACATCTCATTTTCTAAGGGGCTCCTATTACTAGTAAATAAGCTTGTTTAATTATTTATAAAAGCTGAGCTCTCAAGTTGCATGTATCAGTGAAGAATACATCCGCAAAACCTACAAGAACCCACCTTAAGTAACAAAGGAAGTTATCTTGCTCTTTATCTCTGTTGCAGGCATCTCCCGTAAGTTGGTATCTATCTGAATAGTTTCTTGAAAAGAAAAACTGGGTTGTCATTTTTATTTTTCATGCTGAAAAGAGAAATGCAAAGTGAATTAATGATTCAGCAGCTTGTGAGTCTTTTGATTTTCAGATTAATTTGAAATGTTAATTGTCCTCATAGATCAAGAAAATGTAATTTATCCATTCAGAGGAAGCTGCTTGGTATTGAAAGTATCTAGTCCAGTTTTGTCACCTCTAACTGGCAAGACCTCTCCAGGGTGTCAGACAGAGAATTCTTTATATCACTTGTTGCTGAACTTTAGAAAACTGATCTAGAAATATCAGGGACTGAACTTGGACTTTCTATTTGCATCGTCTATGTTCAACCACTGAGCTTTGGGCTATGTCCTGACTTCCACTCTGATAGTTCATAATCTGAATTTACTGCTCTTTGGGTTAAGAAGAAAGCTAACTTTAGAATCTCTTTTTGTCTTTTTTTCTTACACTGCAATTCCTTTTCATCCTTCTTTTTCTCCCTTATTTCAAGTGTTTTATTTCATTTTCTCTGCAGGCTGGGCTTTTTAATGAGACTGGA